CACTGAGCTGGGCAGGTCCCAGGTTGAGGTCCAGCGGTGCACACTGAGCTGGGAAGGTCCCCGGTTGAGGTCCAGCGGTGCACACTGAGCTGGGCAGGTCCCCGGTTGAGGTCCAGCGATGCACACTGAGCTGGGCAGCTCGCAGGTTGAGGTCCAGCGGTGCACACTGAGCTGGGAAGTTGGCAAAGAGCTTGGCGAAGAGTTGGCAAGGCGGAAGCGGACATGGAAGTGGAGGCAGAGGTGGTGGAGGAGAAAGAGAGGAAGGAGGAGGAGGAGGACGAGGAGAAGACCGAGGAGGAGGAGGCAGTGGAGGACAGCTAGCGAGGAGGAGAAGAACAGCTCTGATAAAATCTAACAACCCTCAGCTGGCAACTACCTGAGGTTGTTTTTATTTGGGGGGCCAGATAGTATTAGGGGAACGGATTACTTGGCCGTTAGGTGTACAACGCAATCCATTTCAGTGCCTAGGAAGTTCCAGTTTCTACTTTGATGCCATGGACACTGATGGAAATGGCGAGGTGCATTTTGTTTGTCGTAGCGGAGCGGAACGCAAGAGCCCGACTAAGGGTAACCGACGCATTTCATGAAGGTTTGCAACCTTATTTCACTGGGATGGCAAGTGCGTCATAATATGTCATAATTATTCGAGTACCGTTGAAACAGGACGAAACAGGTGTGCGGCACGAGATCCTTGCACACAAAAAAACCATCTATGGCTCATGCCAGTGATTTATATTTTTTGTAGATTCTACACTTTGAAGTTGCTATTTGTTGTCACATGCTGCTATCTACAAGGATTTGGAACTCGGAAAAATTGTTATGTCGATTATTATGTTGTCTTGCTCCGGCTCCGGCAATGGCAAGTTGACAAGGTGTCCTTTGAAGAGTTTATGGATATGTTGTATTCGCAGAGCTCCCCGCAGAACCGCAAAGCGAAATCAACGAACTTGGAAGTGAAGCATGGCAGCATATGGCATCATCCGTTGATTTACCCAGTGGAGTCCTGGAGTTTCATGTCCGGAGACATCTCGACATCTACAAGAAATGTAGACTCTGAATGACTATGACCTTTATGACCCTAAATTGACTTTGCACATTTCTGACCATGTTGGAACGGTGACTACGTTGAGGCTTGTGACTTCGATCGACTCAGACACTCCACAGTAGTTACTGCAGCAATTGCTGCAGCTCACGAGTGCAGAGGTACAGATCCAGCAGGTGTCGTGCATTGTCTTGTCAGAGATCCTGAAAGCTGCAAAGACATCTGACACATGGAAACTTGTGAGTTGTAACATCTTGTAACAGTTAAATGGAAAGTTCCCTAATTTGTTCCGATCAGGAAGAAACGCTGAAGTGGTCATAGTGCATGATCTTTGAGACTGCTGAATTCTTTTCGCTGAGAAGATTGTCAGCGTGTGGAAGCATCTTTTGTGCAGTTGTTTGCAGCAAGGAATGGTACATGAAAGACTCAACTCCCTGATCCCTGCCACCCGTCGCCACTGCATATCGTTTCGTCAGGCAAGAAGTTTCTTCACACTGCGGATTGCAAAGCTGATGAGGAAAATAGGCAAAAATAATGCGTTCAAGAGAGTACTTGTGTGTATGTGTGCCTCTATACATGCAACATGTGTATTGCAGATATGTATCAAAAGTACAGTACATGTATATACCATCAAGTCTTGAGAATGTCAACGAGATTAATTAGATGATATAGATATAAACATATTTAATCATATTTATACACTTGATACATTCATAAGTTGACAATGATTCATGACATTTTTTTAATGAACGGTGTCAAGTATATGTCAATCATGACAATTACGAATGTGCGCGTGTGACGCGTATGCGTTTGTATATATATATATATTATATATATATGTATGAGGCTGTGCGTACATTGAAAGGCGGATGGAGAGCATTGGAGAGATAGGCTGAGATAGGCGCATAATCTGCATAGTCTGATCGTAGTCTCGTAGTCTGCATAGTGGTGGAATATAAATGTCTGACCGGACTCTACAGGTCCTGCTCGGAGCTATCAAGAGCCGGATGTTTTTACATTGATGTAAAGTTCAGAGGGGGTGGTGGGTCTGACCCCTATATCAACCGATATCAACAAAGCTGATCATTAGACTCAGAGAGTAGATTTGACCACTAAATGAATAGAAGGTGAGCCGTGGTGCCTTCACAAAAATGGATCCTTGATCTCAACAGTCTGTCCCAGCCTTTGCGTCCTTGGGTATGCATAGTATAATCGTAGGTTTGAGTCTGAAAGTATACTTGCATATATTTTTCTACAGTCAGTTACAGAGAATGAAAAAATATTTTCCAAGCAGGCTAGACTGAAAGTATACTTGCATATATTTTGCTACAGTCAGTTAAAAAGAATTACAAGATATCTTCCAAGCAGGCTAGTCCATTTTGCCACAAGTAAATTGTTCTTTCAGCTCCCATCCAAGCACAGAGCACAGGAAATTTATCAGCCAACCCAAAAAATGCT